TGATTTCCGGCAAGAGAAAAGTTCGGCATATTTGATTTTTTTTAACCGATTTTGCTGCTGATTCCAGTGGATTTGAAGGTGACGGTTGGGTGGTTGTTGTAGAAGGCAATGAGGTGAGTTTATTGGTGGTAGATTCCGGTGGCCATGGTCGCCGGAAGGTGGTTGATTTTGGCTCTATAGGTTGCGGTCGTCCCATGGCTGAAGCTTGGAGTTGGAGGTGGATTTTAGATGAATTTTTTAAGTTAGGTCCTCTAGCTTTTAAGTAACAGTGTTTTAGTGTTTTAGGTTTCAATTAAAATATAAAAGTCCTAAAACTATTTTCAGCGACCATTTCTGAAACTACATGAAAGTTGAATGATCGTTTCTGCAATTTTTAAACTTCAGTGACCGTTTTGAAATTTTCATGTAACGTCAATGACCATTTGTGAAATTAACCCTTTTGTTAATTTATAATTTTTATTTTAATGAAATAAGGAAATTAATTACTTTTTGCCCGTCTACAATCAATTGTGTAAAATACTTTATAAATATTGTAAAAATAATATTTGATATTAACTTCTTGTAAGTATTTAGCGAGTCTCGAAAGAATTAAAGAAAATAAAATTTAAGAGAAGAAAATTGTACTCTCAAAATTCAATTTTTATGATTCAAATTTTTTGTGATAATGAAATACTACATATGAGCAACATTTTTATACTACATTTGGTACATAACAAATTAATTGTTAATACATGAATTTAAACATCTATTAAAATTTCTAGATACATGAATAAAAATAAATTCATTTATAATAACTCTGAATTCATGAAGATTAAGATTCATCAAATCAAGATTCAGTAAGTCTAGATTAATGTGAATGTTAATTAATTGAGAATTAATTACACAACATTCATACATGACAAGGATTTTATATTATTTATTACATATTGAAAAACGAAAAATAAAATATTATTGAAATAATTGAATTGTAGTAGGGCTAAAATCCTCAAAAAATAATTTTCATTTGATGTGATATTTAATATATTATAAATATTTAAAACCTCTTTTTTATACATATTCATTTTCAATCACGCATTTGCACGATAAAATATTGTGTACGTAAATCTAAAATTTTTCTTTACTTCTTAACCACGCATTCTCATACAAATTCCTATTCAAAGCATTATTTTTCCCAAATATTGATCATCAAATGGGAGCTTAAATTGGGGCTAAGCCCTAAGTCTTTTAAATTAAACTACTTGTACACTCTTTGTGTACATTAAGTTTGACATTTCAAGATGTGTTAAAATTTGAGCCATTGATTTTTTAAAGTGTTGTTAAAATTTATATATAAAAAGTTGCTACCTCACAACAATATCAAATTTGATGTACATATAGCAAAATTGAAGTATTTTCTTCCTTATCAATTAATTCTTCGGTTTATTGATCAACCCTTTAGACTGTTTTGGTTAGTGGGAATGAGGATTACATAAGAAGACTCGAAAAAGCTCCAAAAAAGTAGGATTCTTTGTTCGTCTTTGATTTTGTTAATGACATAAAATGAGATTCTTGTTTTAACTTAAGACTATTGTGGTACTAAGGCGAAGTTAGATAGAGCTCGATTTATTCTACCTATCAATTCTCATTTGAAGCTTAAAGTTCACATCATGATACGATCAAGAACAGCGGACTCCACTCAGCACCTTTTACCTGAACATGACACTTTAGCATAATACCTTTGTTACTCAGAAATTTAGAACTCATTTTCAAAATTCTGTTGATTTTCTAGCAAATTGAGTTCAAGAATCGGATATGGTACAAAGCCATCTGAATCCAACCATATAAAATGAACTTATTGTGCTGAGTATTTTCAATTTGTTGGAAAGAAAACTCAAAAGATACAATTCTTATTTAGATATAATTTTTCAATTCGAACGTTTGTTGTGTCAAAATGAGTCTCAATATAAGGCTGAAAATTCAGAGCTTAACTTTTTTCGGCTGATATTTCATGTGTGATAATATTTTGATTATATTTCATTCATTTGACATCTTTCTTCATCCAATTGGCTCATAATATTCTCCAACCTTTATGACGAGGTCCAACAGAACTTTTGAGTATGTTGTAATCTACTCCCCATAGTTTTGATTTCTCAATTATCTCAATTTTTCGCTTGTTTTCTCAAATTCTTTATCAAATCATGAATTTTACATATTAAACATAATATAACACCAATTATGCTGTATTTCATCAAAAGAATTACAAAATGTCATTATTTAAAACCCTGAATAAGTGTATAAATTACACTTTCATTTTCATAGATCACAAACTCACAACAGCTAATCACAACTCAAATTCCACTTCTACTCACACGCAAACACAAAAATGCTATCTTTATAAATTCAAAAAAAAAAATTGTTCGTTAATTTTACAGATCA